TTGTGAGGAAAGGGAGCTCGGGAACAGCATCTATGCAATGTAAGCGACTTACGCTCCTCCTCATCCTCCTCCTCCTCCTTCTTCTTCTTCTTCCCCCATTCTCCTTCATCCTTTCTCGATCTGGTCACTGCAAGTGCTGTTCTCCCAACTACATCGTCTTGGATGGTGCGTCGAGCTGGTTCCACTGTTGGATCCACCAGTGTCACATTCACGATAGAATGGACCAAGAACATCGAAGCTGCATGATTGTTTGAAAAAAAAAGAAGTAGAGGAGTAGGTATTAGAGGGAGAGAAGAGGTTTAAGGAGAAAGAAAATGGGAAGGAAAGTGAGTAGATGGAAGTGGCAATGTCGTTGATGTATTCATCGTGGAATTCCAACATAGTAATCAGGCCTCGGTATTGCGCTCTCTACCTATCTCTACACACCTGAATTGCTTTATAAACTATGGTATGTAGCTAACTGGAAAATGAGGAATACTGAAATGAATGTCAACATGGCTGCACTAATGTGCCGGTGGTAGAAGTGTCGAAACCATACGTGTAACATCATTGAAGGAAGCGAGAGAAGAGGAGATGGAGGAGGAGGGGAGGATAAGCAAAGTTCTACGTGAAACACAGACACGGTCAAACGAAGGGCACTATGGAAATCGCCAATGTAGAGACACACCATCAAACTATGGATAAGTAAATTATAGGGTGCAAGATTCATCCTTTCAACGGGTGACGGTACTAAGGGCTTAAAAACTTTCTTATTTAAAATATAAAACAATTTCTGGTTTCTTGGTTCTGTGCCCAATTTCGAATTTTGCTTCCCAATTTTCACTATCAAACTTTCATCTAGTAAGTTGATTTCAGCAAACTTATTGCTTCAGGATAGCGTAATGTAGCTCCATAAGTTTCCATTCTTAACTAGGGTTGATCAGTGTCCTAGGAATTGGGGAAACAAGGGATTCGGCAGTATTAACTGTTTATTGTAATTACCAAACGCGAGAAATACAATCTTTGCTACTTATAAGTATTGAGTAGAAATCTCTTTGTGAATAAAATTTGGTGAGATTGAAACCGAAAGCGGAGGCTGTTTGTCCCATCGAAAATGACGGGTCATATTAGACTCTGCATCTGTGCGATTGCGAATTGGATGTAAGCAATGCATACCTATTAAACTATTCCAGATGATACTTGACTGCCACAACTTTTTATGATGACTCCAAAAATCTGCAGCATATTTTGGCAGCTCCATAAAATGGCATTTACTGATTTGGTGCCTACAAAATATTAAGGATTGATTTAGTAGTTGACTGTAGATACCGTAACCTCTATTTTTCTTACACTTACTCCACTGCTATCCACAATAGCCACAAAGAAGAAGGCAAAGTAAAAGGTGAAGTAAGGATGAACTTCCAGCCCTATGTTGCTTAGGGTATTTTAGCGACTTTAAAGATACCAGCGGGATTCGGAAATTCGAGCACTCCATAAGTTTCTGTACAAGTGTCACCAGGCCAGAACTTACTAAGGAAAGGTCAAATTCGCTTTCCGCTGCCCCGAGACCTCCCACCACGTAGAAGGCACCACGTTGTATAGAATATGTGTGTCTCAAGGGCGGCAAAAGAACGGCTAGAGTCCAAACGTACAAGGAAGTAAAACGTACACCAAAGTGACCGCCACAGATCTGGCAGTCAAATAAACAAAATTTTACAAATCTAATCGCTTATCACTGCGTGATAATGACACCAAGCAAACTGCTTAATTGTTGCGAAGCGCAGTCATCATGTGGTGCAATCGCACTGCAGTAATACCCTCCAACTCTCAAAGCCACACTCACACCTGCATGGGCATTTGTCTTTTACTTTGATGATGTTTCAACTTTTTTTTGCCTCCCAACTATTTACATTATGCTTGTGCACAGTTGTAGTCAGTATTGACTTCTTCCTACTTAGGGAGTTTGGAGAAGGATTTTCCTGCTTCAGGTTTATTTGGCAT